ACCACTCGTGACTGTTAAATAAGCTCAAAACGACACTAACAGCACACGCTGATTAATTTGACTGTATTGCAGGGACAGAAATAGAGCAAGACTCTGGTTAAGAGCCATTGACAATAAAGGGAAGCCAGGCAGTGCTGATAAGATTGTCGCATCTAGCTCACTGGCCTAAGATGCGTTGTGCTGCCTGCAAGGAGGAAGGTACAGAAATGGACAACAGGCGACTGCGGCTACTATTAAGCAGGTAATGGATTCCATCTGAGGTGCGTGAAAATCAGTCAAACACAACCACACTTCAATTCCATTCATATGACTGTCATCGCCAGTGAAAATACACCTCGGATGTAGTGTTGAGGCGACAAAAAGCATCTCTATGGTGCCAGGCTCGGGCATGCCACTCTGTTCTAATGGTAAGGCCGTCTGAGTGCGAGTGAGACTGATGTGCATGAGAGCTGTCAGCCTCTCTCTGTAATAAATGCCACTTCTTCCTCAGCCCTCTCCAACAGTGCATAGATAGGCTGCACAAGGGAGGGGTGCCCGGGTAGGGGGTGTGTGTCTGTGGCGAGGTTACACACAAGAACCTGTGACCCAATTGTGGCCACACCAGCTGTTTCCTCTCCACTGCCTCACGACCACTGCCTCCTATGCGGACCACATCTTGCTAATTGGCCTCCACTGTCTGCTCAACGCACACCCACACTTTTACACACCGAGCAGGATAATACATATCAGAGAAGTGGCCGATAGAAAGCGTTTACAGCTGTATTAATGTATGATTGATGCTTGTTCAATTGCAAATTCAAGCTGAAACACTAGTCAGGCTTCATCCAACAACTAAAACACAGCACGAAATTAGAAACTCAAAAAGATACACATGCACGGGCCGCGAGGATCGGGCCGCGAGGATCCGGATAACTTGCTAAAGGAGTACGTAAACAAGCAAAACATGGTTGTACACAAGTCTTAATGCTAGAGTGTGGATTGTCTGTTTCCAATCGCTGCATCAAGTTCCTTTACTGTGATTGTATAATATAAAAAAAATGTCAGTTCTATTATGTTTCATTCAAGTAATAACTGATATTTGTCCTCAAAACTTTCATTAAACACATTACTGTAGGACTCTGTTGCTTCTTGTCAATTCTGTGAGCATTCATTGCTTATTTTCATTTTCTGGTTGCTAGCAAGGTGTCAACTTTGATTTGCTGCCTAGAATCCTCAAATCAAAGTAGGCCAGCGTCTTCTTTTCTGGTCTTCACAAATGCTGAATTGCGTTGCAAGAAGCTTGAGCGTGTCATAATTTCCTTGACAATGGCCCTGTGATGTGGCACATATTGACAAGGCTCTGAGTGGCCGTGCTAGCCTCCCTGCCACCACGCTGGCTAATGTCCTCCTGCCTCGCACACAGACAGAGGGACAGGTTGTTGACGGACTGACAGACTGACAGTAAGATTTTTTTGGAGAAGAAACTGAATTAATTGGTTCTTGCTCCTGCGTCTGAGTCCTGACGGCTATGCTTGTGTGTATGTCGCGGTAATGGAAGGCTGCACTGACGAGAAGGTAATTTGATAAATCCTGGAGCAGGTAAAAGCTACAAAACTGAAACTGATACCGGTTACTGCTTTGGTCTTATGCCATTGCCCTTCCGAGGTCTCTGCTCCGGTTTTTCCATGTGCGGCGAGACACTTAAACCCGCGCACACCTAATCATGCTCCCACATAAATACACTTAATCGCTGACACGCTGGAGCAGGGCGCAAGTCGTACCTCAGACACATCCAAGCATGCACAAGTAGGCTATAAAAGTACACACAGAAGCATGCACGGGATCATGGCTCAATCAGTCTGATTTGTTTGTTTCCTCCTAAGCATTTGAGGATTCCTTGAGGAGGGCAAAAAACTTTGTATAATCAAGTCAATTATGTCATTCAATCAAGTCGGAAAATCATCTCAAGCCCTTGCTCGGATCCAGTGATTGCAAAGTCGTTTGGAATATTTTCGTGCTGTGTTCTATTGTGCAAATAAGCCATCTTTTTAAAAAATGAGGAACAGCCCACCGGCCGATGGTGGGGTTTTCAAAGCCACTTGTTCCGGAAAAAATAGCAAACAAAGCCTCCTTCACCTTGGTAGTCTTTCATCAGAGAAAATGACACAGATTTAGAAAGCTGGTTACATATTGTTACTGCCTCTAAAAAAAAAAACCTTTTGATTAATTTATAACAGCTCTTTTGTCTCCTTCAGAACGTGGTATATCATGTGCCCCTGAAAATCCATCCGGAGTGAAATTGTTTAAACTCAAGGTCAAGTGCTGATGTTGGAGGACTGTATCAGCTGAAGGTGACCTTGACTGATGTGCAATATGACATGAGGGAAATGGATCTCAGCTCAGCGTGGGCAAATTATCTGTGAAACGCTGCCACTCTATTAAAGGCTATTTTGTGTGCATGTGCCCGGACTCAGCGGGTGTGTGTGTGTGTCATATGCATGTCCTTGTAGGGGATAAGGTGTGGAGGGAGGGAGGTGATTATGGCTCTCAGTTGGGGGTATTTCACAAGAAAAACATCATAATCCAAATAATGATGCTAAATGCACTATATAGATCAAACCATCTTTACACAGAGGCCAAGACCTTGATACATTGAGCTAAAGAAATCTATCTTATTAGCATAATATTTTCATTTTAACAGTGATGAAGTAACACCATTTGAAAACAATGGCTGGCATCATGGCATCTTTGTTAAATGAAATGATTTGCATTTCAACACTAACATGTTTTAATATAGCATCTTGCACCTCTTGCTCTATCATTGCTGAGTACGAATGTTTTTAGAGTTTTGTACAATTGTTTTTTACAATCTTTACACTGACTGACTCCATTAGGAATCTTGTTAACAAGGCTATCTTACTTCCTGTTGTTTAATTGCTGTCCAGGAGATCTGTCTTAAATGGTCTATATGGACCAAGCAACAGCAGTGCCAACAATTCTGTTGAGCCTGGAGCTATTTTCCCACTGCCAATTTCCAGGTGTGATATCACATGCAGCCTGCGAGTATACAAGGAGACGGATGGAAATGTCACTGGTGCTCCCGCGGCACATTTACCATGACAAATTATGAACCGTGATCTGTCAATGCAGCTTGTCAATGACTTGTGTTTGTAAATAAAAATATAATATTCTTGTCGGACATATGAGAAGTGGAACGCAAGGAAGATTGGTCCACTTGGCAAAAAGAAAAAAAGGTACTTTTCATCATTATTTTTACTTAATGGATATTTGAATACTATGTTATCACTACCCCAATTTTTATCTTCCTCTTAAAGTGATAGTCTGGAACTCTAAATGAATTACAAATTTTAAGAAATGTATTAAATTGACCTCCTGGGCTTAAATGTTGATATAAAATACGTCATTTTATTAATTCTAATATTACGGGTAAGTCCTGCCTTCCCTTCTCTTAGCTATAGCTCAAAATCCACTTTAACCAATCAAGTCATGCCAAGGGCTGATGCTCATCGCTGCGCGCATGCTCTGTTGTTTGTTTTCACGGAACCTCCGAATCGAGCCTCCATTAGGCTCTGGAACTACATGAAAACTGAACAAAGAATTCTGAACATCCGCGCTGAGTTACCCATTTATATACTGAACCTATATATCCATAATCATTTATATACTGAACCTATATATCCATAATCATTTATATACTGAGCCTATATCCATAATCATTTATATACTGAACCTATATCCATAATCATTTATATAATGAACCTATATCCATAATCATTTATATACTGAACCTATATCCATAATCATTTATATACTGAACCTATATCCATAATCATTTATATACTGAACCTTTTGACATAATCATTTATATACTGAACCTTTTGCCATAATCATTTATATACTGAACCTATATCCATAATCATTTATATACTGAACCTATATCCATAATCATTTATATACTGAACCTATATCCATAATCAGATCCTCTGCAGATGTGTCCTATAATGTTCAATTCATGATAATAGCTACTTCCGGGTTTATTTCACAAATAATTCTGAATACCTCTGTGCATGTGTATTAATAATGTATGTATAATGTGTTCTTCAATTAACATTTAAATTTGTTGATTGATTGTTACGGAAAAGATGGTGAAGACCAATCAGAAAGGAGAGGGGAGGGAGCTTGGGTCGTTTTTGTACCTGACAAACTCCAGCCAATCAATTTAATGTTGTAGGAATATAATGGTGTCAACCAACTCCATGGTTATACAGTATAAGACAGCGTTCCAAAATCTTTTTTAGTGGTGATACACCTTTCTTAGTGAAAACAATTACATTGCACATCACCAGATGAAACTGAAACCAAAATGAAACTCCAAAGCCTTTAACAAATCAAACTCATTCATCCAAATGTATTGAATAGTCAGAAACAAAACAAAAAATAAGACAAAAGTATAATTGTCTTCAACAGCAATAAATTAAGTGATATTGGGTCACTTCCAAAAGTACACCAGACTGTATTTCAAAGCCCACTGCTTTGAAAAACAACTGATACAGGGAACTAATCATCCAAAATATATAACCAGGACGAAATGTTACTTTTTATTAAAAAAAATTTCAATAAGTAATCAAAATCAAAATTAGTTAGTTAAAAGCTAGTATTAAGTAATGTGCTTATTCCTCAATATTGACATTGAGTTGCAACAGCACAAAAATCCTGACTGGGATTTTGTGAGTGACACAGCGACGCTAATTTTTCTCTGACCTTGTGACGCCCCAGAGCAGCTCCTGCCTCACGCATCTGCTCAGCGCTCACTTTTGACACACTGTTCGCCTGGGCACGATCTGCACTCACATCTCACATCTCACATCTCAAGTCTAAAGTCAGGCCACACATAGGAAACACCACTGTCGACCAGAAAATATGAAACCGAGAGCTCCCCGAATCCACAGCACATATGGAGCAAGCACAACATGAGCTAACTACTGTAGTAAAAGTCTTACCTTTCCAAACTGTTCAAAATACTGCTTCACATCTTCCACTACTGTGTTTGCCGACAAACCTCCCACAAATATTTTCTTTGTTCTTGTGACCATCTGCAAAGAAAAGAGACAAACATTAGAAGACTGATTGCACAAAATCAATGCTTTTCTGGCTTTGAAAATATGCTTGCAAGCTTATGTTTTTTTTTTTTTTTCAAGTTACTCAATGTCACACAATGTCACAAAAGTCACAAAAACAATCATGTGTAAAAATGTAAAAACTTATTTTTGAAGTGGTGCTGAAGTCTACTGAAATGTAATATTTGTATCTGAAATATACCATCATAGAAAAAACAAAAAACTGAAACTATTAAATTATACTGATAGTTGTTAGAACAGTTGTTTCCTTATGATTGTTCTTACAATTTATCCTCTTCATCTTTCAAAAGTAGATAAACCATATTTTAACAAAAAAATATTGGATCTTAAGATCATAAATTCTATTAGAATTGGTTAACAATAAAAGGAAAAATACAATGCAGAAATCATATTGTAATTTTGCAAATGAAAACAATACGTTATTTTCCATATAATTATGTCATCATCTAGAAAGAAAGAAAAACAATAAACATTTACTATATTCACGAGAGTGTGTCAAGCCAACAAAGTAAAGACCTAAGGTGGTGTTTACACAGAGACGCTGGAACAGTAAAACATTAGAGATGGATATCGGTTTGGCCTCCTGTTTACATGGAGACGGTGTTTCAGGGGGGTGAAAACGTAAGCCTCCAGAGTAGAACAGAACATATATGCTGCGCAATGCAGAAAAAGGTGTGAATTCTTTATCTACTGTGACCTCACCACTTCCCTACACTTACATTTGGACATGCGCAGTAGCCGAGAACAAACGTAAACAACAATGGCGGCGGGTCAACTAATGCAATGTGTGCTTCAAATGCTACACGGAGGAGAATTCTACTCCTTCGTTTGTCCAAACGAAACCACGCAAAGCTGTAGTTTCAGTTTCCATTTTTACAGCTACTATTAAATGCAGAATTATGTTGTTGCCAACCTTAGAGGCCCAGTCCCAATACCCACACTGCACCCTACGCCCTCCTATGAAGTGTGCATGTGTCTGAAGTGCACACCAGGGTTGGAGTGCGCAGGTTGCAAGCGTGCACAAAAGGCGGAATTGGGACAGTGCACACTGAGTGCAGGTTACGTCATCGACTCGTCAAGAGATGGTCATTTTTAGACCTAAACTTTGTCTGACCCTTTGGGAAACAAATTGAATTGCTTCACACACGTTAAAATACATGTATATTAGTTGTTTTTAATTAGAGATAGCTGTATAATTTTAAGTTAAATGTGGGTAACTAACTATCTGGTCAGTTTTTATACATTCTAAGATTATTGTACTAAGTGTAAAGTTTAAATTGAATGTTATATAAACGCTTGCTTTAAAAAGTATTAAATTGTTAAAACACAATGTCCGTAATTCTTCATCAGACGTTTATGCTTCTTTCCAAGTAACATAGCAAAACTTATTTACACACATACTGCATTTATATTTCAAAATGTATATTTAAATGCATTTTCCCGACGTTTTGGTGTGTACCGCAAAGAATTATGGGCAATATCCTTCGCCAGAGTGCGCATAGATGCAGGCTACGGCGAAGTGTGGATCAGGGGCGCAAAGGGGGCGGGGCCAAAAAACTCCCTGGAGAATTGGGACACCCTACGCACTCGCACCCTTTATCGGGAACGCGCAAATGAGGGGCGCGAGGGTGGAAGTGCGAGTATTGGGACGGGGCCTAAGTCTTTGCGGTGACCTGAGTAGGATGTTGTTGAGGAAGTGATTATACTGGTGGGGGTCATGTGTGTCGTGTTGTAAAGTTCCACTGCCCACTAGTGGCCAGGCACTAGAACTACATCGTTTTCTGCTGTCATCTAAACGCTGCGCACTTGAATGGAGCTTGGTCATTTTTGCTAATTGCTCTGCAGAGTCTCCGCAGTGAAACCGTCTAAACGGGGCCTAAAACTGTGTAACAGTCTAACCCTCTCACACACACTGTCAAAGCGCCCAAAGCACCTCATTGTTTAGCATTAGTAACAAACAAGGTCAACTTCAGCTGTGAAAAGGAAAAAACACAGCTACAAGGAGCAGTGCTGTTTCCTCACAATGACATTTAATTCAAATGGAAACACTAATGAAAACAGACTGTTTCAGAATTTAAGACCTCCATTTCATCTTTTAAAGTTTCTGTTTATCTTCTTGCAGAACTCAAAAAACAACAACAGAAATAATTTATGGACTTTCAAAAAACAATTAATGAGAGCTGGAAGATGGAATCAGAGTGCATTAAAGCCTCATTTAGCTTCAAACAGCTCGAATATTAAGGATTATTACCCACGGCATCAAAAAGGGCACAACATCTGCTGCTGAAAGTATGTGCTAAATTTAGGAGGACGATTTCTCGCTGAAATATGGTGACACGTTCAGATGAGTAAAGAGTATATCTTGAGGAAGATTACATATGTCTTAAGCGGTGATTCATGACAATCACATGACTAATTCAGTTCTATTCCCGGGACACAGTAGGATAATGTCCTGTATCTGTAAGCAGTTTTACAAGTGTGAAAGGACATCTGCCTTTGACGGTGACCACACGGGCCGTGTTCCAAGGCCAGACCTTAAACGGCCTACATTTTGTGTCTCCGGAGCATTCATGGCTTGTGACCAAAGGCACTCAGCAAGTCATTCCATAAATATATTTTCACAATGGGAATTATATCACAATTGGGTAATAAATGAATAGAGGCTTGCCCTCCAGGAGAAATGCACTGAAACAGGTTTTTCAATTCCGGTATCGATCTCAACACTTCAGTATTAGCCAACATGGATCTGAAAATGACTTAAAAATCCATACTATAGTATAACTATAGTTATCCATATAACTATAACCAGTTTACACGCATGTTTGGCCTCTGTCGCATTCTTTTCAGAATAATTGACAGAAGACAGAAAAGCACTCACTCAGCCCATCAACTCTCAGCTTAAAGTGCCGTTTGATTTGTTCACAACATTAAGAGCTATGAACAATACATCCACAAATAAAACACAGGATATCTTGGTATCCACAATTTTCTCTCCTCTTCTCTAATACGAGCAGCTAGGAGCCTTTTCTCTGTCACTATCACATTATTTTTCCTGATATTGATCGTTGGCTTCTGTTTCCTAATCTATGACATTCGTAGATCATTGTTATATTTTGTAAATTTCAATTTATTTTGATCTAAAATAATCTTGTTCAAATAATTCTTGCAGTACAGCACATTAAGGGCAGTATAAAACATTTCTAGTGCAAAAAAGCACAGAAAAGCGTTTACATTTCTCAACAGCTTTCTCATGCTCCACTGTGTGCAGTACTCATTTTGCATAGACATGAGGCTGCTGCAAAGTCACGTCTGCTCTGCCATAGAATCAAACTAATTACGGGGGCCGGATAAACATAGTCTGAAGATGCACAAAGCAAACAATCAGGAGGAGTCTACCTTGATCAAAACGCTGACCCAAACACTTTCCGTCTCTGAACGAGGTTACACACAGAAAAACGTAGCAACATTGAGCGGGTGCTGAAGTAACCATCTGTCAAGTACTTTCCAGGTGCAGCAGTCTCTGAGGCTGCACTCATATGCACAGCGCCTCCCACACACTTCTCTGCGCTCACAGCTCCAAACACGGAATTTTTACACCAGCTTTTATACTGTTTTGAGGATAAATCAAGTCTTCAAGCTTTCTAAATTAAGTCACTATTTAGCTGGTAGCCAAGGTGTAATTGACTAATACTTTGTAAATTAATACCATTTACTATCACTCTAAGAGTGAGTATCTCTCACTCACACAAATAACTTCCTATTTTAGCTTATCATATTTATTTTTTGATTGTAGAGTAGACAACACAAGAACTGCGAAAGGCTTGAAGGGTGTCCGTGGTTATGCGGTCAATTAACATATCACATATAAAGCTTAAGCCTTATAGCTGTGTGTTATATATCAAAATCATTCACATTTATAATTGACATATCTAGCTAAATGAAAATAACTGATATAAAAACTATTTCTATACTCATCTTCTTTTTAGCCTTTTTTATCCATCTGCAGCTAATTCTTCAGGGATTGCCCAAAGAACAGTCAAGCTTCCTACACAAGAGTCATGGTAAAAATTATATATATATATATATATATATATATATATATATAACCAGCTGCTGAGAGATGGGACTCACCCAGAATGGCTAACCGAAGGGCGAACGGTCCTGATCATGAAGGACCCTGTCAAGGGTGCAGTCCCCTCCAACTACCGGCCAATAACCTGTCTCTCCACAACATGGAAGCTCATGTCAGGCATCATTGCGGCTAAGATAAGTGGGCATATGGAACAATTCATGAGCACAGCACAGAAGGGCATTGGTAGGGACACCAGAGGAGCCAAACACCAGCTCCTGGTTGACAGAACAGTCGCCCAAGACTGCCGGTCACGACACACCAACCTGTGCACAGCCTGGATTGATTACCAGAAAGCCTACGACTCAATGCCACACACATGGATCATGGAATGCTTGAAGTTGTACAATATCAACAGGGCTCTAAGGGACTTCGTTGCAAACTCGATGGGAATGTGGAAGACTACCCTTGAGGCAAATGGCAAGCCGCTCGCACAAGTGACCATCAAATGTGGTATCTACCAAGGAGATGCTCTGTCCCCACTACTGTTCTGCATAGGCCTCAACCCTCTAAGCCAAGTAATTGACCAGACTGGCTATGGATACCGCCTCAGGAAGGAGCAAAGATCAGTCACCTCCTCTACATGGATGACATCAAGCTGTACGCCAAGAGCGAGAGAGACATCGACTCTCTGATCCAAACAACCAGGATCTACAGCCATGACATCGGGATGTCATTCGGGCTCGAGAAATGTAGCAGGATGGTGACTCGGAGAGGCAAGGTAGTCCACACAGAAGGGATCTCACTCCCAGAGGGAACAATAGCAGACGTTGAGGACAGTTACAAGTATCTCGGTATACCACAGGCAAATGGCAACCTCGAACAG